CTAATTTTACCCCTACATGTTATTTTGATTTATATGAACATTGAGCATCTGTAATTTATACCCTAAACATGTTTTTTGTGGTGCCCTAGGGCTTTCAAGTGATTCTTTTCAATAAAGATTGCAGTAAATTTGCTCAGCATATTACCATTATGCTCTCCATAAAGAGGATAATTTATTGCAAATGATATTCCTTATTGTATGAATTGCATAAACATGTCTTACTAAAATATTTACCCCAATTACCCAACTTTTAGTTAAGTCACAAACTGATAAGGGAATCACTCACTTTGTCAGTGTGTATCCATCTTTAACATTTTCTTAGTAATTCTGCAATAGATATCTTTCAAACGCAGTTGCATGTTAACTCATTAAACTTGAAATTTACAAACACTATTCAATTAACTTACACTTTTGAGGCATTTTTTAGTGATGTTTAAATGAAATGAAGCGTAGCGTGAGTTTTTTGATATTTCCCAAATCAGTAATGACACAATAGTAGACAATAACAGTGTTTTGAGCTTTGAAAATTTTATTATATCTTTTCTCAAAAGGTACATGTACGTGATTTCTTATCTGACATAATTGAAATGACCTTTCAAGGTTTCAATATATATTTCTTTCACCGGTAATAATTGGTATATTTTTAACACTTTCTTTTGTGCTTTTCAACTTAGAATAATGAAGTGTTCAATACTGTATTCAATAACTTGATGCTAACTGTGAGATCCATACTGTACTAAATAAATCAGGCAAATACTTCCCGGTTACCATGGCAATGGTCGTCTTCGGGTATTGGTATGTCAAAGTTGACCCTGCAATTATTTGGATGACTTGTTGTGTACTGTATCTTATTTATAATGCTTTAAATGTCCTGCATTCATTTCCCTAGGGTAAAATTTTCATATTGACAATAGCTATTGATGTAAGTACCAAGTTCAATGTTAACACAATGCACATGTAGTTCAGTGTCAACTATATGGATCAAAAATAGCTTTCCTTTTTTTGACATTCACAATTTTTGTGAGTATCGTTTGTGATATGTCTGCCATTTTGCTACATTCACATGCAATTACTTGACTTTTTACCAAATACCAAAAGTATACATGTAGTTGCCAACACATCACCTGCTAACGCCAGTTTATCTCATTCATTTTGGCTACCTATATAGGTTTTCAGCAGGAAATGTATTAAAATGGCAATGTGGCAATAAAATGGCAATATTTATTGTAAAATACAAATGTTTTTTATTGGCAGTCTTCACTCCTTCTCCTTCTCTTTGAATTACCTGTATATAATGTTAATCTGTAGTGCACACATTATTTCATCAAATAAATATTGATATGTTTATTTCTAAAACATTTTGTCATGATAAAAGAATTACCGTAAAATCTGTATTAGAAGCCGCATTCCTAATAGAAGTCGCACCCAATCTTTTTGTACAATTGAGAACCAAAAATTCATCATTTCTCATATGTGTAGATGATCTAATAGAAGCCGCATCCCCTCTGTTGCATTGTACCATTTTAATAGAAGTCGCGGCTTCTAATACAGATTTTACAGTACCAGTATTAAACATGCCCAAATACTTAAAACTATCCACATTGCAACTTTAATTCATGTAAAGAGTTTGTAACAATGATCAAGTCTAGTTGTATCTCATTTGACTGTTGTAACTCTACTCAGAAAGGTTAAAATTCCTTATTGACTGCATATGCATCAATTATATGTAGCCTAATTATATATGACGTACTGTCAAGATAACTTAACAATGTGTATCAGGTTTCTTTAATTTAATTAATTAATCCACTATATACAGTGCTTCATTATATCATCAAAGGATGTATGTGACAGCAATCCCTTTCCTATCCTGCAGCATGTGTAGCAATAAATTTTGTCAGGTCAAATAAAAAATACAGGTCTTATCAATTTAATCTGCTTTGTGTTTTTTAATGTCTATGAATCAATACCATCTGTGGGGAATTCTAATATAATCCCAAAGCTATTTATATATGTTTAATTTTATTGTCTTTTATGTACCTTCAGACTTGTGTATTGTACTTTAACTGTACATAGCAAATTAAACATAACTGAGTTATAATGTTTTAATATATTTAATATAGTAATAATCTTTATAACAAAGCAACTCATAACGAGTTCAGCTGCATGGATGTGAAAACAAAACTATAAGCACACAAATACATGTCATAAGGTCACATAAGGTGAAGATATGATATCTTTCATTTGGGATGTACATAATACAATACAATAGTTGTGTAAAGTCCAATACTCAGATAATAGGAAGTATTAACATATATTAATTAATCCAATGTAGGTATATATATATAGGATGTTACACTGTGACGTCATGTTTTGAGATTTTCTCCAATCAGCATGTTTTAAGTTGTTTTACTAACAGCAACATGTACCAGTGTATTTACTAACAACAACAGCAGAACATAACGCCATTATTTTATCTTTGTGTGCCAACTCATGGTCACTGCATATGCACAAAACATAAATAAGTTTTTTTTAGTCCCCGTTCGGACGGATTCCGAAAACGGGGACTTATAATTCTGTCTCCGTCTGTGCGTCCATGTGTCCGTCCGAAGTCGTATCTCAGAATCCCTTGGACTGATTCTGTTCATTCTTTGCATGTGCCTAGTACTTTATGTGGGACATATGCACATGCAGTGGTTTAGTGATTTGATTCAAAATGGCCGACTGGCAGCCATCTTGTTTTTTGAAAATGTTGTATTTTGGACATGCTTTGTCAGTTTTCATTCAAACTTGGTACATAGATTATACATGTTAGGATACATGTCCATGACAATTTATTTTACAATTGGATCAAAGGAACGGAACACGTGTTTTGGTGTAAATAAACAATCTGTTGTATATACCACTTGGAACTCAAGTTTCAAGGACATGCTCACGACAACCCCTCCGCTTTAATTTGAGAATAAAGACAACTTTCAAAAATTTAACGGGGACTGTGTCATTTTCAATGAATTGTTAATTTCTCTATTTTTAGCTCCGCTGTCGACTTTGTCGAGCGGAGCCCATCATATGAGTGATTGTCCGTCGTCGTCGTCCGTCGTCGTCGTCCGTGTCAATGTTTTACTTTTTTCGACTTCTTCTTGAAAACTACAAGCCTGAATGCTTTGATACTTGGTGTATATGTACCTTGGGTAGACCTCTCTTAGGTTTGTTCATTTCATGTTGATATCTTCAATTCTCTAATTTTGGTGAATATTTTTGTCATTTTTGGTAAAAAGTGATATTTTCGACTTCTTGTTAAAAACCGCAAGTGCAATTGCTTTGATATTACATATATAGGTACTACATGTGGACCTCTCTCAGATTTGTTCATTTTGTAATGATATCTTTAATTCTCTAATTTTAGTGAATATTTTTGTCATTTTTGGTAAAAAGTGATATTTTCGACTTCTTGTTAAAAACCGCAAGTGCAATTGCTTTGATATTACATATATAGGTACTACATGTGGACCTCTCTCAGATTTGTTCATTTTGTAATGATATCTTTAATTCTCTAATTTTGGTGAATATTTTTGTCATTTTTGGTAAAAAGTGATATTTTCGACTTCTTGTTAAAAACCACAAGTGCAATTGCTTTGATATTACATATATAGGTACTACATGTGGACCTCTCTCAAATTGTCATTTTGTAATGATATCTTTAATTCTCTAATT